TTCTCAGTCGGTTAGAAATCAAGAGAAGAGAATCACCTGACACTTGGGAGATCTTTGAGAGTTTTTGGGAAATGGAATCACAGTTTGAAAGCGAAACTGTATCACATGAAGATGAACTGTCCCGGGCCTGGTATCCTAAGTCCTGGGAGTTAGAGGTTCAAGAGAAAGTCAAAGAAACTGTTGAGGAACAAGTACAAGAAGTTGCAATAGCTGCCACAAAGTCTCGCTGGGACTCAGACAATGAGGAAGGAGAGGAAGCTCAGCCTGCTCTAGAATGGAAAGAAAATGTGGAAGATAAGGTCTTGGAGTCTAATACAACTGCTCTCTGTGGAGACAAAGATGAGAGTTTGTCATCTGAAGTGTGTGGTGCTGATGAAGTAGGGGAGCAGGTACAAGACTCGTCTGCAATGCCTTTCTCAGTCGGGCTGAATGAAGAATATGAAGCTTTCATGCAGATGTTGGATGGAAATGCTGTGTCCAAAGGGGATGGCAAAGTGGAAGATAAACTTCCTGTAGCTGAAATCAAGGTTGAGGAAGGCATTGAATCAACAACTGAGGTCAAGGAAAAAATCAAGGCCAGGTCCAAGGAAGAAGTACCAGTAGAACCCAGTTTTGGTAATCAAACAAATACAGGAATAAAACAGGAAGTTTTGTCAGAAGTGGATTTAGATTCTGATGAAAAACATGATAAGAGTTCAGATGAGGAAGAGGATACCAAGAAGACAGCAGAGGAAATGAAAAGGAAAGAAAGAATGGAGAGAAAGATGAAGAAGAAAATGAAGAAGGCTAAGAGGAAACAGAAAAAGGCAGAGAAGAAAGCAAAGAAAAAAGCAAAGAAGGAAATGAAAAGAAAAGAGAGAGACAGGGAAAGAGAAATGGATGAAAGAAGGGGAAACAGTGACTCAGATACTGGAAGTGAAGAGATGCTTGATACACCAAAAAAAGAGAAGAGAGAAAAGAGAAGTGAGTCTAGGGAGCTAAGCAGAGAGAGAGAGACAGACAGAGGACATTTGAGTGAGGTAAAAAGAAATGAGAAGAGAGAAGGAACTCATGATCAGAAAATAATAAAGGGAGCAGGTGTTCGAGAGAGTGCAGAGAAAGATAGAAGTAGTGAGAAAGAGAGAGAGACGGAAAAAGATAAGTATGACTCTAAGGGTGTAAGAGATAGTGAAGAAAGTGATAGTGATACAAAGGAATGGGAGAGAAAGGAGGAACAAGAAACTGAAAAGGCTCATAGATGGCTTGAGAAAAGGACGCATTATGATGGAGGTAAAGATCACAAGAAAAGAGAAATAAAGGGTGAAGAGGTGCTTGAATCTGGAGACAGAAAGTTTGAGAGAACCTACAAAGATTCCCTAAGTGACACTAAAACAAAAGGGAAAGTCCCTACATTTGAGGACTCTGAAGACAGCCCAACATACACTCCACCAAGGAGAGATAGTAGTGATGAGAGTGAAGACGAACCAGCAAATAGGCGTGGTCATGATAGTGATCGTAGTGTTTCTCCTGATGACTGGAAAAGAAAGGATGAGCCACCATCCCCTCTCTCCTCTGAGGCCAGTGTTGATTCTCTTGACAGGAAGAGCAGGAGGAGATTTAAATCAAAAGGTCATAGAAAAAGAGGTAAGAGCTGGGTTGAAGAAGAGCTGAACTCAGACACCAATCAGTCATGGAGATCCCAGGATTCTTCATCTCCTGAGTATTATTCATCAAAGTTGTCAGAAAAGGACTCCAGAAAGGCTGATTCTGCAAAGTATGTGCCAAGTGACACCTCTGGATATTGTGACTTAAGTCGCTCATCCAGTCCAGTGTCTGAACCAGATTTAGCTAAAACCTCAACAGCTGAATCTAGTGAGGATGACAATGATGATTATAAGAGTGACAAACTGTATGAAAAGCGAGTGGATACATCCGAAGTTATCAGTTTCTCCTTGGATGACATCCCATACCCTCCAGCTGGCTGTCCACCAAGCAAAAATGAGGAGAGTCAAAACAGGGTCCGCAGGGAAAGTGAGAGGTACAGCCCCTCTAACATGTCCATGTCTCCAAGCCCATCATCATCATCGCCGTCACCAAATCAGTCACCAGCTCGCTCACTGTCCTCATCGCCAGCACTTCAGATTCCTTTGCCTCCAACATCTGTCCAGAATATCCCTATCCCACCACTTCCAGGATCTCTTCCAAAGGGCCCTCCTCTGCCACTGCCTGATCTCAAGAAGATTCCCATTCCTCCATCAGGAATACCCCTTCCATCAGTTAAGCCACCTGTACCTCAGGCAAGAACAGTCCCAAGTTCACAGCAGGCAAGCCATGTGCCAGTTGGTCCTCCATTAGTACCCAAAGGGCAGGTACCTTTACCCATTCCACCACCCATGCCACAGAATACTACATCTTCCATGGGATCGGTCCATACGAGGCTTCCTGCCACACAGTCTGTTGCTCCACCATCAAAGTTGCCTTTTACACCTGGGGGACCAACCCTTCTAACTCCAGCACGTGTTCCTATGTCTGTGCCTCCCCCTTCCATTCTTCCTCTCTCGGTTCCTCCACCTACGCCATTATCAGTTCCTCCACCTACTGGTGTCCTACCACCTTTGCCTTTACCGAAGGAGTCACTGCCAGATAAATCAAAAGTGACATCCAGACCATCATCTCAGGACCAGGCTATACCTCCTGTAGCTTTATTATCTCCCACATCGGTCCCCCTGCCAAGCTCCGCATTAAACGTAGATAATGAATATAGTCAGAAAAAGGCAATTGAGGAAGCCAGTACATTAAAAAGTTCTAAGAATGAATCTGATGACACCACTGGATTGGTTTCAACACAGTGGGTGGAAAAGAATTGTGAGCTAGAGGCATTGGAAGATGATAATAGTAAAGATATGAGTAAGAATTCTCGTTCTATACCAATTACATTTAGGCTAGGAGGATCAAAGCAAGGCAGTCTTAAACGATTGCAGAAGGGCCCATTATTACCAGAATTCATTCATGAAGAGGAAGAAGAAGGCCTTAGAGGAAAGCTTGTTGATGAGGAGGATGAGGATCAGTCATCAGAGGTAGCAGAGACAACATCTGATGTATTTGATGCACATAAGGTTATGCCAACATCATCAAGATCATGGGAACCTTCTAAGGATGAAATGCATGAAGCAAAAAGCTTAAAGGAGGAAAGTCCTCAGAATGTGTCAGTGTCTAAGGGGCGAACGAGGAGATCAAGATCAAGATCTCCACGGAGGATCAGATCTTCGCAGAGGAGCAGGTCGCCACAGAGACGGAGATCACCATCAAGAAGCAGTTCTGTCCAGAGGGATAGATCTCCAATGAGGGGCCACTCAAGAGAGAGAAGTAAATCCCCAAGGATTGGCAGAACACCCTTAAAGAACCGTTCCCCAAGGAGGAGCCGCACTCCTTTACGTAGTAGATCCCCCCAGAGAAGCAAGTCTCCAAAAAGAAGTAGATCTCCAAGAAGATCTAGAGACTCAAGATCACGTAGTTGGTCCCCAAGGAAGCTTGGTAACCGTAGATCTCCAGACAGAAAAAGAAAAATGTCACCTGAGTTTAAGAGGCAAAGAACAAGTCCTGAAAGAAACAAGAGAATGGAGTCATTTAGTCCACGAAGGTCAGTACGTCCGAATAGGGAAGCAAAATCCCCAGTCCGTGTCTTAGGCCCTCGACAGTCAAGGGAAAGACGATCTCCCAAACGATATCGCAGTCCAAGTCCTTCCCCTATAAGAGAAGATAGAATAGGATCACATTTTGCTAGCCCTGACTCAAGACATAGTAGGAGTCCAGAGAAAAGAATACCTACTGTACACCATGGACCAAGAACCCCAGAAAGGTCAGAGAAGATAGAATCTGTTCGGTCGCCTCAGCATGGTTATCAGAGTGATCTTGGACGAGAGAGGACAGCAAAACGAACACTAGAACGATCACAGTCTCCAGAATTGCATGATGAACGTAGAGCATATGCTCAGGGTCGATTAGGCAGACAGGATTATAGAGCCAGCTGCAGTCCAGATTCAAGAAGTCCAGATGGCAGGATTGCACACCATCATAGTCCTGTCCGCAGAAGTCCTTCATGGAGCCCAGTAAGGCAGCACGGCCAGAGCCCCAGTTGGAGAAGTCCTACAAGACAACGGGCTCAGAGTCCAGGTTGGAGAAGTCCCCATTACAGGAGCCCTGAACGTAGGCCTCATTATTCACCTGGAAGAGACCAACACAGTCCTGTTCATCGCTGGAGCCCACATAGGTCTCCAGGAAGATCACCACGAAGGTCCCCTCATCACAGAGGTTCTCCTGGTTCCCCTCTTTGGAGATCCCCTATACGCAGGTCACCAGGAAGTAGGTCACCAATGAGAAGGTCTCCTATTCGTCGATCTTCACCAAGACGTTCTCCTCTGCGCAGGTCTCCCATGAGAAGGTCTCCACTCCGAAGGTCACCTCATAGAAGATCACCTGGATGCAGGTCACCTCTAAGAAGATCACCTCTGCAAAGGTCACCCCTTCGGCGATCACCAAGGAGGTCCCCAAGAAGGTCTCCTCGTAGATCACCACGAAGGTCACCCATTCGGAGGTCCCCCAGACATTCCCCAAGAAGATCACCAAGGAGGTCAATGTCTCCCAGTGTTGACAATGGTGACTATGAACATCATGATAGGGGATGGAATGACTGGGAGTGGTCACGTGACAGAGAGAGGGAGCACAGTCAAGATCGAGAGCATAACCATGATGAGTCAGAGCGCTGGGTCGGCCGCCCCCTGAGTCCAAGGTGCAAACCAGAACCTGAGGTTTACTACAGTCAGCACACCAGGAATATCAGTCGTAATGAGGACACTATTAAAATTGATGCAGACTCCACCATTAGTGACTCTGAACTCACAGGTAGAAGAGAGCAGCTGGGACGAATGACAAGGGAGTCATCACCTTCAACCTCACCAAGAGACTCTCCGCGACGCCTGTCATTGGATGAACGATTGCAGCAAGAGCATGGCCTTGATGTTGAGGAAGAAAGGCAGAAAAGATTACAACAGCAACAGCAACAACAACAACCTGCACGTCACCTTTATAATTGGGGATACCAAGCTCATCCAGTGCAGGTATGTTTCAATGTTGAATTTGTAATGTCAAACTTGAGTCTGAATTTACATAGTTATTTGTAATGATAAGACAGCTAGGAAATAGCATGCTTTGCTTAAATCATTTACATTTAGAACTATACCATTACAGATAATAAGCAAAGCTAAATGTGAAAGAAGTGCAGATGACATTTCTATATATTTTATTGCTAGCTCTTTTTTTTATCGAGATGTGTATTTTACATTTACTTTCATAAATTGTTTATGTGCTCTGATATAGTATCTAAATCTTAAAAATAAGTGGAATAACAGGGGAAGAATAAATAAAAAGCATAACAAGCTTTTTAATATATCTGCAGTACCATATAAAACAGTAATGGATAAGAGATTCTAAGACTAAATTAATGTAACTCTGGTAGAGACAGTAACAAAAATTATAGCAAGAGATTGCATGAAAACTATTAACCTGCTTACAAGAGTGGTGTTATATTTACCATGGACAGGTTCACCAGTTTCATTATGCGTATGAGGGTGGTAGTGAAGGTGGTGGTGATGGTGGTGGTGGTGGTGGTGGGAATGAGAGCGTAGGTGGTGAAGCATCCTCTCGGGTCATACAGGTTGGAAATATGCTCCAGGTGCTCCCGCAGGACCCGTCAGCTACCCCCACTCCTTCTTCGATGATTGTCCAAACCGGAAATGTCATCCAAGTAAGATTACTTGTTCTTAGTCTCTCTTGCTGATTTTATTTAGTGATATTGATAACTATTATATTCTATATCTGATGTGATGATTATTCATGATAAGAAAATAAAGATAGTTATACAGACCAATTGTTTTAGATTGTTTGTGCTCATATTACATAATTTCTTATATTCCAGATGTATATTTATGCTCCCCATGTCCCATCCCCAGGTTGTGCCAGCAGAGAATATGCAGATGTTGGGTGCAGAGATGGTGCCAGGGATCCCAGTGTCCAATGGGGGGATGATGAGCAGTGTGGTGCAGGTAGTGGCTGGAGGTGTGGTGGGGATGTCAGGGTCATCTCCGGCCCCTGTCCCACCCCCTACATCTTCATCTACAACATCCATCTTAGCTTCTCCGGCAGATTCCTCTCCTGCAAAATCCCGGTCGGGCCTTATGTCCTCTGTTTCATCAGCTATCCCCATGCCAGTCCCTTCCTCCATTCCCTCACCGGTTGCCACACAGGGATCTACCACAGCTACAGTCAATTCACCTGCTGCAGTTGCTTCAGGTGCCCTGTCGGGTCCAGCACCAGCCTTGATGTCTTTGTCCCCCTCAGCTCACACAGCTGGCTTACCTGTCGCCCACCTCATCTCCCTCATCCAACAGGTTTGTGATTTGCGAGTCTCTGTTTGGAAGGGTGTAGTTCATTGGGGATTTTCTGGAGGGATGGATCTCTTTCTTTATCCTCATTGGAATAATTACTTTTGATGGCAGATATGATGGATGGCTTTATAAGAAAAGGAATAGAATGAAGAAGTATATATATTTATATTCAGTATTCCTTTCCCAATCATAAAGTCTGTTTCATATAAATATATTGCCCAGTAAAATGAGTTTTAAAATTGTATTATACAGTATATGAAATATAGTAAAAGCAATTTTTAAATTTTGTGAGAACCCCAATCCTTGGAAAGTCAAAATCAAAGTGAGATTGATATTAAAAGTACCATGGACAAGCTCTAGCCACATTTTCTGATGGAAAGAGGCCATACCCCAACTCGATAATTAAAGATTATAACCTTATTTGTCTACTATAGATATATGTTTCTCTTCCTCTTTCTCTTTTTTCCTGTTCTTACTGTCTTTTTTTGATAAAATGAAATACTTTTACTTTAATTTTTAAGAATTAAGGTTATGTCCATCATATATGGTGATGATATTGAGTTGAAGAGATGTCATACCAGAAAGCATGCTCAGATTATTCCCCTGAACCATTGAGCTAAAGTGACATGAATCAAAATAATGTCTGCTAGTTTAATTTAGTAGAGTTTATATATTTGTGTATGACATGTAAGGTTAATTGCCACCCTAGCTAATATATGCCTCCATTTTTATTTTTGCAGCAGATGTCTGGCATTACTGACACTGTTATAGACCCAGAAGTGGCTGCTGCAGAGAAGGAAAAAGCCAAGCAAGAAAGAAGAGAGAGGAAGGAAAAGAGGAGGCGGGAAAGAGAAGCCAGGCGTGAGGCAAGACAGCGCGAGAGGGATAGGCAAAGGGAGAGAGATCTGGCACAGCAAGAAGAGCTAGAAAAACAACTGTCAGATACTGAGGATGAAGTTCTCATTAGGGTAAGTTGGGGAAAAATGGAAAACCAAATTTGAGATGCTACTTTTTATATGCTTATACATATCCACTGTATCTAGAGGCAGAAACACAGAGAGAGGAAATAAAGCTATATCTAACCTGTCAAATTACATTCATAAGTATTCCATTTTGTAACAAGTTTCATTAAGTAAGCAAAAAGATTTAGTATGCACTAATGCACTGTAGCCAAATGGGGTCAGTACCTGTTATAGGCAGTACAAAAATAAAAGCAAAAAATTTTATGAATGATAGCACAAGTTTATGAATCTGCTATAATTATTTTTTTTGTATGGAAATATATTATAAGAACAATCAATTTGTCTGCTCTGTTTCTGATAGCACATTGATTCACTTTATTTCCTTGTAAGTGTTTAATTTGGTAGTCTGTTTTGAATAATGCCTATTTTTCTGAATGGGAATAGGTATTGTTAAGGTTTTCACACACAAACAACAGATTCATTGAATGTGTGTGCTCATGAGAACATTTAGTCAGCTTATAGGGGAGGTTAGCTCTCAGGGAATTGGGGAAAATGTGCTAGTTTGGTAGGTACTTAAGTTAGTCAAATTTTGATATTGTTTTGCCCTTACTAGTTGATACATGTTTCCTGAATATTGGGTTACTGGAAGTGTGGTAATTATTTTTTATGTGTGAAGCCCAAGGCTATTCAGTGACAATGGATTTCAACCTGATTAAGCTTTCCTGGTGTATGAATTAACCCATCGCCGACGGGTAAAAATGGAATGGGCATGACATGATGCCCCTGGCGTTCAGTCCACAGCAGCCATGGCATGTACGTACGTGCCACCCGGCAGCAACGGGTTAACACCCAGTTTTGGGCCTAAAAGTTTGGCCTTAAAAATGTAAGAGATACACAAGTGTTAATTGTACTTCCATATATATTTTTTGCATATAACTATTATCAGTCTATTATTATCATTATTATTGTAATTATTATTATTATTATTATTGTTAATATTATTATCATTACTATTGTTATCAATATTATTATTATTATTATTATTATTATTATTATTATTATTATTATTATTATTAATAACATTACTATCATTATTATTATTATTATTATTATAATTAGTAATATCATTACTATCATTATTATCATTATCATTATTGTCATTATTATTACTATGACCTCCTCCAAAGAGGTTATGTTTATGGTCATGTTGTTTAGTTTGATTGTTTGTTTGTATGTTCATTGGTTAGTAGGATAACTCAAAAACTTATTCATAAGTTTTTTCTGAAATTTCAACTAGAGGCATGTCTTATCCTAACCTTTATTCCATTAAATTTTGGTGGTGATCTGGATCATGATCTAGATCTAGAAATTTTTTAATGATTGCATGAGTTACCCCTATTGTAAATGCACCTCAAAAAGTTAGGAACAGATTTTTATGAACAATTTACCAGAGGTGTGTCTTAGCCTAACTAGATCTCATTAAATTCGGTGGTGATCCGGATCCAGGAATTTTTTGAATGATTACATCAGTTACCCCTATCGCCTTGCCTCCACCAGAGAGGTTATTTTTACTAACGTCACCTGTAAATTTGAGAATGATGAGTTTAACATAATTCTTTAAGTGGGAATATTTTTATTACATCAGTGGCCCTATTACCTTGGCAAAGGTATGCGCTCTCTGAGTGCTTCTGGTTATTATTATTATCATCATTATTATTATTAATATTACTATTATTATGTTTGATACAGTCATTTACATCAGCCTACAGGCCAAGTGATTCATATGAATTTTTACATTTTACTAATTACTTTTGCAGGAAGCCATGTCAGAAGTACCTGTGATTGGTTCTCCTGTACCTGAGTATGAGGTCCTCGGAGATGATGACGATGAGGAGGATGAGGATGATGAGTCTGGCGAGAGGAAAAAACGGCGGCTCCTCCCCGTCCCTCTGCCACCTGCTGAGAAGGGCATCCTCATGAGCCCAAGTTACAGGTATGGGCCTTTGGGCATGGAGATGTGATTTTAATTTGTTTTAACACAGTTGAAAGTTGTCCTTATGGTAAGAGAAAGAATGTATGTGTTAAATATAGTTCTTTATTCATCATACCATCATGTTTTTTTCTTCTATAGATATCGTGTTGATTATCGTCCCAAAGCGGTTAAGTTTGCGGATGGAATCCTGCCTGGGGAAGGGACTTCTCCCTCTGGTGGTGAGGAAATCCACTCCCCACCTCCTCCTACAGCAAAGGCCACAAAGACTAAGGAAAAGAAACTGCGCAAGAAGCGGAAAGTCAAAGTCAAAATTATAAAACAGGTAGATGTTTATCACTGATTTAGTCTGTCAAAGTAAGCCAAAGGCTGAGGAAAGTAAAAAGTTTTGCTACACTATATGTAGCTCTAGTTTAGTCTGCTTAGTTTATCAAGAACACAAAGTAAATAAATAGTCAGCTAATATACCAGTGAGTGCAGGAATGAAAATGTTGCTGGAAAGGTTGCAATGCAGTCTTTGCAAATATTGAAGCACTTTAGAAAATGATTTATTGAGTAATTTAACTTCAGATGGTTGGTTGAAGAGAAGAGTAGCAAATCTCTAACATTCACTCCAAACAAAATATTGATGAAGCACCATATCTGAAAGGCCATAGACACTGAATTGTTTCTTTTTTCCATCGGAATGTTTAATAATTTAAGCTTTTGGTCTTTGTGAAAAAAACTTTTAGGAAAGGAGATATGTCTGTATGTTAGGTAAGAAGTGAATGCCCAGTGAGATATGTAATACATCTTTTAGCATATATAAACAATATTGTAATTATTTTTATGGTTCATGAGTTTTAGGTCCTTATCTTTCTCTTCTCTTTAGTTATCCTTTATCTTCCAAATTATGTCTTGACTTTTTTCCTTCCTTCTCATGGCAGTCATTGATACTTTTATTTATTATTTAGTACAACGTGAATGATGACGACAATGACTCGCCTCCACCACCACCACCTGGCTCACCACCACCTCTTGCTGCCATCAAATTGTATCCTGGCTACACCCATTACAGTTACACTGCTCCAGGAACAGCTGTAATCTATACGCAACAGCCACAGCAAGCATATGGTATGTGTTTTGTTTATTAGCTAGTTTGATGTAACTTGAAAGGTTTTATGTTACAGTTTTCATTTTCTTGGTTTCTCTCTAATATCTTAATTACTTGTGCATTATCCCATGCATGACTCAGACTAATCAGCAAGATAGGTAGAACAGGATACTATATTTGTTTAACTGATATTTTATTATCATCTTTACAGCCTATACGTCAGGCCAGCAGGGTGCTGTTGCAGTGCCTAGTGGAATGGTCTTACAGTCAGGGACAGGCACTCAGCCACAAGCAGCAATAAGTGGACTAAGTGGAGTCTCCCAAGGAGTATTGCGATATCCAGGTTATGTCTACACCACAGTCTATTCAGCCGGACAGCAGCTACAGTATGTTTTACCGACTCCACTAACATCACAGTCTGCTGTATCAACTCAAAAGATTGCAAAAAAATAATTGAATATTCTTAAATAAAGAAGCTGTTTTGACACGTTCATTAATGAGAACGAGAACTTTTCTGAAAGTCCACTGTAAATTGAAATATTATGTCAAATGAAATTGATATGAATTTAATGACTGGTAAAATGAGTATGTAATTATTCAGAATTTTCTTTTTAGTAATGTGAATATATTTTTGCTCATATTCTTATGGGAAAAGAATGATCATAAAATCATAAACCAAAGACTTTCGGAGTCAGAACTTGGCTATTGTTCAGTGTGCATGATTGTAGAGTTCCCCTTCGTGAAGAGAGTGCATGATATTTTGAATGCCAATGGAAAAAATGATGACAGATGGAAAATTTGGTCCTACAAATACAGACAAGTGTGTGTGTGTGTCAACACTGTTTACAGACATATGCATATGAATTGACTAAATGACTGGATGAACTGCATTTGACTAGTATTTTTAGATAGAAGTTTCATCTACGAATAAAGAATGTTTGGTGTGGACCATAACAGAATCACAGCTATGAAAATCCTCTAATTAGAAAAAGAAAAATGAATTGTAAGGCAACAACTGATAGTAAATGTAATTTATTGGAGTGCCTTAACTCTGTACCAGTTAAGGCAATGCCACTGGGAAAATGTTATGTTCACTTTAGTCTTGTTTTGTTAAATATCTACACATAGATGGCTCTGCCAGTGCTTAGCCACAAAGAAGTCAGGTAGTAGTTCGTGTGACAGCACCTTTCCTTGAGTTGGTGGGAAAAATGAGTTTTTTACTAATGCTATCAATATTGATACTGTTATTTTTATTATAGACATTATAATTACTCTATTGTTAGTAGCATTACTAACAGCAGTATCAAATAATAGAAAATTTAATTGAAAATCAAGGAAAAGGTTAACCACCTAGTGACGTTACATTTTCAAGCCAAAAATATTGCTTTCTGGGCGGCTTCAAAATCGGCGTGCGGTCGAGTCCAGGAACCTGCGTAAGAGCCGCCCACCACGGGCGACAAAATCAGAGTGCAAGCTCCAATATGGTGTTGCACTGGCGGGACGCCCAGTAATGTTTATTTTTCCGGGTGTCTCATATGTGTGACACCAGTTGTAAGTGGATTAAACAGGTGAGACAAGCACTTCTCATAACTGGCTCATTGGTGACCTAGTACTTGTGGAGCCATCTATATGTGAAAAGAATTACTTATTTAAACACACAGTGGGCAATGCATGTACGCACATGCCATCCCCGTCAGCATGTGGTTAAGATTTACATTCTCAGTTTATTTTCTCAGATGATATAGATATTCTGTGATGTATATGAATATCTTTTTAGATAATTTGCATATAAAATGTTTATAATCTCAATGGATTTACTTAGATCATTCAGATATTTTTTTTTTTTTTTTACAAGTAAGGCATTACTCTTATTCATTTAAACTACAAAGTTTCTCTATTAGGTAAAGAAAACTTCTTCTGGATGTTTAGATTATCTCTGTTTGTATATATATAATTACATGCACACCAATATCCACAGCCACATCCACATCCACATCCACATCTACACACACATCTACACACATGTCCACATC